TGCAAGGAGGAACCAGTCCTTGGAGAGAGACGTCATGCTTAGGAAGGTGGAGGGACAGCACAAGAAAGTAAGACCCTCAATGAGATGGATTGATTCGGTGATTGGTGTAGTGGTAGAAGGTGTGTCAGAGACAATCTGATTGGCACAGGATAGAGCAGAGTTTAGGGCTGTTGTACATAGGGTCACTATGAGTTGCAGGCGAGTCAACGACACATAACAACAACATCTGTAAAAACAGTGTGTTCGGTGTCAGTGCAGCTGTGACTGATGTCTATTAACTCCACAAGAGGGAACAGTTCCCATCAACAACAGCCACAGCACAAAACCAAGCGCTTTACTCCCAAACCCACGTTTACCAATTCTAATGTCAGCCATCCCTCCTATGGTGCCCACTACTCTATTTCCAGGCCCACCAACCCGCTTCAGTGACCACACAAAACTCACAGAGCCATTCTCAAGATTATAGGTTTTCCTAGAGAAGTGTACAGATGATGATTCAGGAGGGAATTGGGATGTCAATCTTCAGTCACACTAGCTTCTCAAGTGTGTTCTTTGATCTTCAGCCTTATGGCTCTAGGTGATTATGACAGAGTTCCCTTAGCCCTGCAGTCTTCCAACAAGCCTGGGAGCAGGCCCCTGGCTCTGGCTCCCTGGGGCAAGTCCTGGTCATCGGTGTCTCATGGTGATCTCTCCTGCTGTGGCTGCTGCACTAGGTCTGAACGGCACAGGAATATTTAACTGAAATGGATGCCCGCAGGAGAAATTCTTTCTTGGGAATGAGATGTCCATCTGTCACTAAACCTGCTCAATTTAAATCCAGCAGGGCAGCAAGACTGACCAACCTTAGCATTAATAATCTACACACTCTACTGGCATGATGTTCCCCACTCAGCCATATCTTGAAAATCAAAGGTAAAGCCTAGGAAACCCAATTTGAACAGCAAACCTACCACACAATCATATCCAATCCCCTTATGGGCCACAAACATCTGACATTTGCCTAAACCTTCCTACTCAGCCTTGTGGTGTGAAAGAAAAAAAAAAAAGACAACGGTTGAAAAGTCACGTTGAGTATTTCACTGCAGTGCAGCATCAGACGGGAGTGGGGCATGTCCTCTCTCATCCCTCATATTAGAAAGGGGACATAAAGCCCAAGGGAAAGTAGTAGAATATTTTTAGAGACCCAACACTCAAAAATAGGGAGCTCTTGAGGCCATGTCTCTTGGTGATTTGAATCTACCAGGAGGTTCAGGGACAAAGGTGGGTAATCTCCTCCCCAGTGATTTACAGCCTCAGAAACTGAGGAGGGTCAGCTGTGAGTCATTTCCAACTCCGTGATAAAGCCATTATAGAAGGAAGAAGTTCAAGCTGCTTTGAAGGAAATAGTAAAAACTAAGGCCTCTGGAATAGATGGTATACCAA